CAAAGTTTTATAATTGGTATGTTTGTAATTCTTTCTCATTGATTGTTGTTGTTTGTCCTCTGAGTTTCCCCTGAAACTGCTGGGCAATAGAGCAGACTCAGTAGTGGCATGCAGCAGACAGTGTGTGTGATGCAAGATTTCTAGAATTTTTACACTTTCAAGTCAGCTGGGATTTTTCAGGCTGTTATAAACATCGCTGTGATTGTCAACTGTGTTCTTTTGGTATGCACAGATACTTTCCAGCATTTGCACAACTGGGTGGAAAAAGTAGGTTCCCACAAACATGCTGTCTATTATTATAGTGAATAGGTGTAATTTCAAAACAAGGCAGTGGAAGAAAATGTGGAACTAAATAGGAAAGCATGTGGGCACCTCATGTTTCTACTCGGCACAATTGTTTTTCTCAATGGTAGGTTTAAGATTGTTCGTCTGGGGACTTTTAAGACACTTGAAACATTGTTGTGAAATTGGTATCTCCATTCTAGTTGACCAGCTTGGAGGCTTGTAAAGATGTGTGTGTCATACTTGAGGAGTTTGCTTTACACCACTTTCTGTTCAGTAGTTGCAGCCACTTACGGACAAGAAGTCAGTATTAAAAATCTTCTTTCCTTTCTGTTGGGCTTCTCACTGCTCTTTGATCTCTTACCAGACAAATGCCTGCGCCAGGAAAGCAGCAGAAACCAATGTAGCATTGTATTGCATGGGAAATATTTTTCTTCATGTTTGTGGTTTTCCCCCACCCTTCCTCAGTCTTTTCCTAAATGGTGATCATATAGTCTGAGATCAAATGGTGTGGTAATAGGTCAGCACTACAGCTGGTGGTGTTTGATAGCCTGGAGCAATAGAAGTGGAGTTTCTTCTATTTCTCTTTTATTTTTAAAGAACTGTGAACTATGCATAAGCATTAATTTGCACTGTATGGAAGTAGGTGTACTGCATTTACAAAATTCTAAGACGGTGTGAGGATGTGGGAGTTTCTAGTGTGTTTGATGTGTTTTGCTACACTCAGTATTTGACAGCAAAGAAGTGTGAATATGGTATATTTCTCCCATTTTGGGTGATGTCAGTTGATGTTTTGAATTACCTTGTGAAAGCATCAGATTCTTTTCCAGGAAACCAGCCCCTAACCAAGTAACAGATAAGCATGCTGCTTGCTTCTGAGTGCACGCTCGTGTCTCAGGAGGTTCAGCTGTTATTCCTTGGTTGTACAGTGCATGTGTTTCTTGTTTCTGCCGGTGTGGAACAATGTGGGCTTGTATGAGCGTGTGGTAGTGGCACAAGTTAAAAGTAGTGAAGGGATACATGAGGAAGCCGGAGATGTTGCAGCCTATGGAGTGGCTCATTGCTGTCTGCCGGCTGGAGTTTGCCGTCCACACAGCTCAGATGCTCTGTTGGCAGAGCCAGCCTTGCAGGTAACCACTCTTTTCACTTAAATGATCTGCAGCATAGCCTTTTTTTTCCAGTTGAGGCTGAGTTGGCTCATGTGATGAGAAATGCTTGCATACATTGTGCAAAAGAGTTTATAAGTAGTAATCTGGATTGTGTGGAGCAGCACAACTCGAAATTTCAAGAGTGACAAGCATATAGGTCAGCCTTCCAGCAGATGGGTGGTAATGAGTATATACTGGGCCAAAGCATCTGAGATGCTCTAGCTGAATCTAGTGCTGTTGAGTTGGAAGCAGATACTTACGTGTGGCCCTGACTAAAAGCTGTGGTGAATAACAGATCTGAAAATATTGCATAATACCTTGTTGAAGGCTGATGGGTGAGAAATTTGGGAATACTGAGATAGCAGTCAGCTTGAATGGCATGGCAAGTAACAGATTTGTAGAGACTGAATTCCATATAACTCTGTTAGGTAAGGTCTTATGTTGTGCAAGAACTTGACTTTCACTGAAATGACTCTGAAACAAGCTGTAAAGTAAAATACTGCATACTCGGTATGCTGTGGTACAATTGTGCAAGTGGTGGTGGTCTTGCCTAGGACTGCACCAGCAGGAGGAGATGCCCAGGTTACAAGCTTCTTTAGGAGTTCATCTGCTTCTGTGAGTTTAGGAGAGTCTAGTGACAGGACCCAGTTGTCTCTGGTGGTGGTTTTAATTGCAAATGGTCTCTTGGGGCCTTTGATCTCAATATTTTTTACCTTTTTTTTTTTTCTCAATGGAACACAGCATAGGCACGTGCCAAAGAGAAATGGCAAACCATGGCTGGAGAAAGAAAGTGTTCTATAAAAAAAAAAAACAGGTTCATGGGAGCTTGCAGGGACACAGGCTATCTAACTCATTCAAACATATTCTTCCCCCACCCCATTACCGTTGCATTTTTCTCAAAGTGCATTTGTGCAATCCAGTAACCACACTAGCGTGTAACTGGCTGTATAGCCAATTAGTACACTTGAATTTGTGTAGTGCTATCTGAAGACTTCCACAGAGCAGAATTAATTCAGTAATTTGAATCAGATTATCAATGCATCTTAATTTTAAGGAAAAGCCAGTAGCTGCTGTACAGGACAGAGAAGACCCTTTTTTTCAGCTAGAGAATTTCAAACAGCATAGGAAGGGGGAAGGAAATACTGAAATAGTTAGTCCTTGTGTAACGAAAAAATATATAGTAAAACTTTTGATGGTGCTATGTATCTCCTTATGGTTTTGTATCATTATTTTTATTTTGTAATGGGTAAGACAGGGATTCTGTAGTTCCTTTTCTTGGGGTCACCTGTGCTTGCTCAAGTGGGGTGGACAGTTTGCAAAATGAGGCTTGTAAACAAGGCAGAACGTTTTGTACAAAACAAAATATGCTTGAAATATGACACAAGTGTTTCCGGTGTTGGTTGCAATAAATGACTTTTTTTCTTTAAAGTGCTAGCCGTACTTTAAGAAGCCTTAGTAGGCAAAATTGTAAAATTTAGTAAAAGTTATGTTTTGTGTAACCATTTCAGGTTTAGTTGATATGGCTAAGCAGTTAACAAACTTATGAGCTCTTTGTTTCACATCATAATGAACATTCTGTAGTAATTTTGTCAGTCTGATAGATAATTGCCATATCTGAAAGCTTTGTAACTCAGTTTGAGGAGCTGGGGGTCCAAAGCATGAAAAGATCTCAATACTGAATCAGATTTCTTTACATTTTTAATAAAAAAGATACTTCAGTACAGTATTTGTCTCAGCTAGACATAAATACTGCCTTTGTATTAGTTGATAAGCTTCTGTTGTATTAGTTTAGAATCTTCTCTACTCAGTGTTTAACACCACTTTTTTACTATAGACATGATTGAGTTTGCACTGCTGAAAGATGACTAGTTCACTGTAAAAGCATATGTGGTGAAAACAAGCTGTTCCACAGTGCTTATAACCCACTGGGCAGTTAAGTTTGAGAGCAGAGGGTTAGGTTTGGGAAATAGTTTCTTAAAGAACAGAAAGAATGGTGCAAATCAATTTGCTACAACGAACAGGTGTGAGAAATACTGCTGAAGGGCTTGGCATAGTTTTTTCATTCTGGGATGGCTACTCCAGTTAAAGTTTCAGTGCATTTATTGTCATTGTGGTTACATCTGCAGATGCATTGTCTCTCATGAAAGGGTAATCTAGCCTGTTAAATAATAACAACTCTTTTGCCTTGAAACACTGAAGTATCAGATTTTGCAGTGTGTGAGACAAAAGACTTCTTTGATACTTCTCAGAATAAAATTAACAGTTGTCACGTTCCTCCTTCACCAGTGTGCCTGGCACTTCAGAGTATAGCTCGAACCTCCCTTTGTTAATGGAAGAGAAAGACAGTCTTTATGCTCTTCTGTTATTGGTGGGGTTTGTTTTCATAAGTCATTTTGAGATTTAAGACACATGAGTTATGCCCAAATCCCTGTTAGGATTTAGTTTAGCAAGTTAGGTTTTAGTAAACTGAAACTTAAAACAGCCTCCTCCAGAAATCCTGTCTGTAAGAAATGTTAGTAAAAAGATAAAAAATCATGCCAGCTTTATGAATACTCCATACAATACAACAAAGTTGACCAGAAAGCCTAAGAAGATGGTCAAATGCAGTTTCACATCTCTTAGACCCAACCAGAAAAGCAGGGTGGGTTAGAACTGCTGGCAGGGATGGGCTGGGCAGTGATGGTTTTGGTGGGCTTTCCTCATTGCTTCAGAAAAAGATGAAAACAGTGCTAGTAACTGAGACAGAAGTAGCACTCCCTTCTGGGTGATAGGTACAGAAATCTGGAGCAAGCGATTGCTTCCAGTATTTGTGTCCAAACCCAGACATCGCAGCAACAAGACCATGAGGTTTGCTGGACAAGGTGCAGATGACTTCCTTACAGGACCATTCTTGATGAACCTTCACTAGCAACCAAATACTGCTGTCTGTAAATTAAGAGTTTGTGGGATCTGTTTGCCTCAGCTAATTAGAAGTGTTTACCAAGTTGCATCCAGCATGAATATAAACACAAGGTTTGTTTTTTATGGATTAAATTCAAACACTTTTTACTGTTTCTAGCATGGAATGAAGGCTTGTCTCTTTCAGCTTCTGTTTCATAAAGGAGAACAATGAGGCATTTGTTCAGCTTCTGCGTGCAGAAGAAATACATTTAGGCATTCTTTGCATAACTGTGGGAAAGAAGGGGTTGCTAGCTTTCTCATTGTTCAGCTTGTTTCTTAATCACATAAAACAAGTCAACTGTGAAAGCACTCTGTGAAAAATACCTAGTGGAACTATGAAGAAATGGTCTGTGCTGTACTGTTTCCATACCAGGTGCTTTTGAGTTTAATTCTGTGGGAGATGTATATACTATTGGTTCAGGCTGTTACACCTTGGCAAATGACCAGTAGCAACTGAGTGACTGGTACTTTGTCAATAGGCACAGTTTCAGTGTCTGTCCCTCTTAAGAAGGCATGTGGCTTAAAATTGCTTGTTTGTTTTCTTGTATGTATTGTACTCTGTCTTCTGAAAGCCCGTCTCATATTCTTTCCCTCTGTGTGTGTGTTTGCATGTTCCAGTGACTTTATAACATGCAAGACACTGATGCCAGGGGGAGCTCCCCTGCCTTCCTCCGGCCTCAGAATGGGAACGGTTGCAGGTCTTCGGGGTACGTCCCAGGGAGAATTGCCCCACTCCGTCCTCCGCCGCCCTCGCAGACCCACGCTGCCGCCGAGTTTACCTCCGCAAGACAGGAAGCCCGGACAACACTCCCGTCCCTACCCGTGGATCAGCACCGCCGCCAGGCAGAAGCCAGCAGGCATAAAAATACTCTCATTTGCTTCGCCTTTTCTAGCCTTTCACTTTTTGTTGCACTGGGGATTTTTTTGGGAATAGCTTCAAAATACGCTCCAGATGGTAAGTTCTTTGCAAACAAAATCGTCCTAGAAGTCACAGCCCCTGTGAATGTAATTTGGTGATTCACCGTCAGGATTAGTGTTAAAAGTTGAGTGCAAAAACAGGACGCGTGCTGCAATTTTAATAAGAAGAAAGCAGTTTTTTGGGACTAAATTAGCTTCTTTTTCTTTTATCGGTGTCATTTTTATGTTTTTACTGTGAACGATTTGGTTTACTTACAGGAAGCAAAAAGCTGTTGCAGTAACTAAAGACTACTGGTGAAGAGGAAGGAGACATGAATGTTGTATAAGTAATTATTTTTGTCTGCAGAAGAAGCTGATACATTCACAAATTGCAGAAAAAATGAAATTGTCTGTTTAACAGTAACTAACTAAGGTGGTAAAAGGCTGTTGAAGTAAAAACATTATCAAATCTGCAAGAATTCATACCAACATTGTGTTTGCTTTGATTATATACAAATTGGGCAGGAACCTTTCTGATCTAGTAGCTCTGTTTTTGTTTTTGTTGTTTTTTTTTTTCACCTCATCTTAGAAAACTGAGCAGCTTTTATGGCATTCTGGAAACCTCCTAAATGTGCCAGTGGTTATAAAGCATTAATAGGTATTGTGATTAACTGCTGATCACTCAGTATACGTCCCTCTACTGCTAGGAGCTGCTATGAGGTGCAGTTGCTAAAAGTTGGTATTACAGTCTGGAGGACAGGTTGTTTTGTTGTTTCCTTTTTTGGAAGTTGCATTTCTGAAAGCTAGAGAGGGGTTTGAATTGAAACTGGTGGCTATGTAATAGACTCTTTCAGTGGCTTCTGGTATAGTAACTCAAAAGATTCAGTTTCCAAAGTCAGTGCAACACAGGCTAAGCAAATTAGACAGTCAGTTGAAGATTTCAGATGACAGTACAGAATGAATGCACACATCTAACCAGAACACTTCGGGTGGTGTCTTGCTTGTGATCTCTTCACTTGGGTGATGTTACTGAGTTTTCCTAATTACTACAATGGCAAACAAACAAAAAACCAAACCGAAGAATAGTAAATGAAAAGTCATTTCTATGTGGTGATCCAGATCAGTGGTAACAGGGTGAGGACACATCAGGATAAACAACTGAACCAGCCAATGGGTTCTTTGATCCTGATGGCATGCCTGTGATGTAGGAGCTAGGTGCAGGTGTCGGGAGAGGGTCCAGCAGTTGTGGGCTGGGTGGCACCACCATTTCTATTTGGAGCTAACATGGTCTGCTTCTTTGTATCACTTGCTATACATATATATTGCTTTTGCTGTTGTTTATTACTCCTTTTGTGTTGTTGTATTCTCGTTATCTCAACCGACAGGCTTTTTCTCCCTTTTCTCCTTCCCATTTAGAGGGTTAGAGGAGGGGATGAGTGAGCAGCCATGTGGTGCCCAGCTTCTGTTTGGGTTTAAACCACAGCAGTCTTTTTGCATCGAACCTGGGGCCCGAAGGGTTCTGATAACAACAAAATCTGACTGAAGCATGTTAAAACAATTCTGTTACACACTTTTTTTTTCATTATTTGTTCAATAGTGCATGTCCACAGTGTTAGCCCATTTGTTTGCATGGTGTTATTGTACTAATCCTTATGACCTGTATGTGTTCCCTGTGGTGGTGTTTGTCATCTCTGGGAGATGGGTCAGGGGTCTCATGTTGCTTCACTGGACACTATTGACTTACGATACGATTATGTCACTGGGTATGAGGTTAATGTGGTATGTGTATGCAGCCTTGTTGTTTTTTAGTGATCTCACCCAATCTGTGGGCGAGACAGGGAAGGAGACTTTCTCAGCTTTTGAGAATTTTGTCTCTCCTTGGAACATCCAGGCCAGCATGCTCTCGGTGCTATGCCTTCTGAATGTTTGCCAAGTTCTGATTAGGGTTATACAATCCTCTTCCAAGAACATCACCCAGAGACCTGCCCCAAGGCTGAATAGTTATGAGTGGCAGGGTGCGTGGATGAGTACAGGCAAGTGTCTAGGTCAGTGGTCACCTCCAACGTTTTGGAATTTTGCCCCTGAACAGGTGCAGAGTCCCAGTAAACTGGTAAAGCATTTACAGAAGGTGTGTTGTCAGCCTGGCAGTTCTTGAGAGACAGAAATCACTGCAGCGTGTTGGGGCCTTGTCCACGCCTACTGAGTGCTTTGCAACACTATTCAATGTTCTTAAAAGGAAGAGAAGGTCTCTGGCCCTAAAAACAGTCCAGCAGGTACTGCAGCTGAACCAGAGAACCAACCCATGCATGTGTCAGTCACCACAATACAGGAAAAGAAATACACAAAGAAATCAGTTTGCGTAATGATAGGCCACGATGAGCCAGGGCCATCATGAGAACAGGAGGAAGAGCCAGAGGTGGTCACCCGATCCCTGTCTCTGAGAGAGCTGAGGGACAGGTGAAAACATTTCAGCTTTCTACCTGGTGAGCAGATTGTTACCTAACTGCTCTAATGCAGGGATAGTGAGGCTGGTGGTTTGGAATTGGAGGGGAAAGAGGTTGAGCAGCTGGGATCTCTGTCCAGGGAAGGGGACATGGGCAAGGAGATTGGAAAACAGACACAAGCCCTCAGTCTGTGGAGGCAATTCCTGTTGAGTGTAAAGGAAAGGTACACCTTCAGGGAAGATGTTACGTGTCACCCAGTCCAGTGGACCACCATGGTGGGAGGTATTTAGTACCTAAGAGAATTAGCTGTATCGGAGATAATTTAAAATAAACAGAGTGATGAGCAGTCACCCACAGATCCAAATGAAGTCCAACGCACACAGCCGATGTGGTGGAAGTTCCTACGAAGTGCACCGCCATCATATGCCAACCCATGGGCAGTAGTTTCCTGGAAAAACGGTCAGGGACAAATGGTGGATGAATTGAGTGGCCACTTCTGGCAATACAAAGGAAGTATCTTTTCCTCCCTACACCTGGATTTTGGCTGGGGAGGGATTGTCCTGGAAGGTCCAGGAAATGGATGAAGACATGTCCTACTGTCGAGCTGTACAGGCCCATGTCTCAGCTATTAGAAGCAGGTGTTTCACTGCCCGAGAGAGAATATGGAAAGTATGCACCACATGGTAACTTGTGGGTTTACCTACGTGACTGTGGAGAGGACATGAGGAAGAGGCATGGAAAACCCACTTCAATCCTACCTGGACAAGTACATAAGTTGTGGGGAAAGCTATTGTGAAAGGGGATTCTTCCAAGAAAAATGCTGCTCCAGTGTCCAGTGGGAAATCCTGCAGACAGAACATCATGCCTCATTCACTTGAGGGGACCTCTGAGTCACTTTCACAAGAAATAAGTGGCTCTGATCAGGAGTAGAGTGGCCCTACCTCCAGCCGGGTGGAGGAGAGGGACAATGGGATTTACTGGACTGTGTGGATCCAATGGCCCGGCAGGTCAGACCCACAGAAGTACAAAGCTTTAGTTGATACTGGTGCACAGTGCACCCTGGTGCCATCCTGCTATAGTGGGGTTGAATCCATCTGTATTTCTGGGGTGGCAGGGGTTTCCCAGCAGCTCACTGTGCTGGAAGCTTGAGTGAGCTGGACTGGGAAGGAGTGGCATCAACACTCCATCATGACTGGCCCAGAGGCCCTGTGCATAGGCTACCTCAGGAGAGGGGATTTCAGGAACCCAGTAAGATACTGGTGGGCCGTTGGTATTGCTGCCTTGGAGGAAGTTGGATGGTTGCCCACCTTGCCTGGTCTCTCAGAGGACCTTTTTGTGGTGGGGTTAACGTGGGTTGAAGAGGGGCAGCTGCCAGTTGCTGCCATGATGGTGCCCTGGTGACAGTATCGCAGGAATCGAGATTCCCTGATCCCCATCCAGGTCTGAGTCACTGGCTACAGAGCCAGCGGGTGATCAGCAAAACTCGCTCACACTTCAGCAGCCCATGTGGCCAGTGTGAAAGCCTAATGGAGAATGGAGACTGACAGTGGGCTACCGTGGCCTGAATGAAATTACACCAGCGATGAGTGCTGCCGTGCCAGACATGCTGGAGCTTCAGTACGAGCTGGAGTCAAAGGCAGCCAAGTGGGACACCACGACTGACATTGCTGATGCGCTTTTCTCCATTCACATAGCAACAGAGTGCAGGCCACAATTTGCTTTCACTTGGAGGGGCATCCAGTACAAGGCTACAACTGACATTGCTAATGCATTTTTTTTTAAGATTACTGTAGAAACAGTATGTAGGCCACAGTTTGCTTTCAGTTGGAGGGGCATCCAGTACACCTGGAATTGACTGCCCCAGGGGTGGAAACACAGCCTCAGCATCTGCCATGGCCTGATCCATATTGCACTGCAATGTGCCCTGTTCACTGGTGGGTGGAGCACCTGTGGTACATTGACAACATCATCATATGGGGTGACACAGCAGAATAAGTCTTTGAGAAAGGGAAGAAAATAATTGAAATCCTTCTGAAGGATTCACTTTGCCATAGAACAAAGGACAGCTGAGGGACCTGCACAGGAGATCCAATTTCTAGGGCTGAAATGGCAAGACAGGCATCAACAGGTCACAGTGGGTGTGAACAACAAGGTATCAGCTATGTCCCTGCCAAACGGTAAAAAGAAAACACAGGCTCTCCTGCATGCTTTGTGTTTCTGGAAGTTGAACATCCCAGACTACAGTCTGATTGTGTGCCCTCTCTAGCAAGTGACCTGGAAGAAGAATGATTTTAAATGGGGCACTGCACAGCAACCAGCCTTTGAACACATTGACTTGGGCCAGTACAGGCAGGACAAGATACTAAAAACATTCTCTGCACCAGAGCCAGGAAGAACGGTCCTACCTGGGGCCTCTGGCAGAGAGCACCTGGGGAGACCTGAGGCTGACCTCTGGGGTTTTGGAGTCGAGGATACAGTGGAGCTGAGGCCAACTGTACTTCAAACTGATCACACAGTGGTCTCAAATAGGGAACCACAGCCACCCAGGAATCTTGGAAGTGATCAGGAACTTGCCAAAGGGCAGATTTTGGGAAGTTGACAGGTAGAGCAGGAG